TGCATTTTACATGAATGATTATTCGTAAAATTATTTCAAAGTTAATACTCACATTGTTTTAGAATCAAACAAGATCACATATAAAAGTTATAAAGGAACATTTTGGAGACAACAGAAGTAATCTGAATAAGAATTCTCTATTAGATAATATTATATCAATGTTAAATATCTTGGGTGGGATATGATGTCATGGGTATGTAGAAGGATGTCTGTGTTCTTAGAAGATACATGCTGAAGTATTTTGAGGTAAAAGATTACGATGTCTGTCACTTACTGGCCAGTCTACAGAAGATGCACAGAGAGGGCTTTAATGTCCTTTGCTTCACTTTTTGACATCAGAGGGCCAAAAACTCCACCGTTGGATCATGCTAATGCCACCATTTTCTGAACATGGAGTCCATGAAGTAGCATAAAGTTCAATTGCATGTGTACATGTTTCTCCTCCTTCCATAAATATTCATGACTCATCCCATAGCTTGTTAAATGTGTATATTTGGCCAACTGCTCAGCATAAATTCCTGTCCCCATTGTCCCTCCCTTGAAGTACCTGCTTCTGGCTTCTAGCCAGAGGTTATGCTTCCCAACCGGTCAGAATGGCCACCCTGCAGGCTACAACCCTTTACGAAAAATAAAGCTCTTGTTTCCAAATTTATGAACCTCATCACTCTTCAGTTGACACATGTAACCTATGCCTCCTGTATACTTTATTTTATTTATTTATTTTTTTGAGACAGAGTCTCACTCTGTCTCCAAGGCTAGAGTGCAGTAGTGTCATCATAGCTCACTGCGACCTCAAATTCCTGGGCTCAAGCGATCCTCCTGCCTCAGCCTCCCAAGTAGCTGGGACTACAGGCACACAACACCGCACCCAGCTATTTTTCTATTTTTTGTAGAGACGAGGTCTTGCTCTTGCTCAGGCTGGTCTCGAACTCCCGACCTCAAGCAATCCTCCTGCCTTGGCCTTCCAGAGTGCTAGGATTACATGCATAAGCCACCATGCCCAGCTCTTCTTGTATACTTTAAATAATCTCTAGATTACTTATAATACCTAATACAATGTAAGTACTAAGTAAATAGTTGTTATATTGCACTGTTTAGGGAATAATGACATGGAGAAAAGTCTGTACATGTTTAGGACAGAGGCTTTTTTTTTTTCCAAATATTTTTTATCCACAGTTGGTATAATCCATAGATGCGGAACCCATGGAGGGCCAACTGTATAAAGAACTCTCAAAAAAGTAAAAAACAAAAAATGCAATTATAAAATAAGCAAAAGACAAAGTGACATTTCAGTGAAGAAGATATATAGATGGATATATAGGATATATGGACAAACACATGCAATGATGTTTAACATTATTAGCCATTAGGGAAATGTAAATTAAAACCACAATGAGCTATCACTACACACTTAACAGAATGACTAAAATAAAAATAGTGACAGTATCAAATGCTGGCAAGCAGAGAAACTGAATCACTCACATATTGCTGGTGGGAATGTAAAACAGTACAGCCACTCTGGAAAACAGTTTGTCAGTTTCTTAATAAAACTAAGCACGCAACTACTACATGACCTGGCAATTGCACTCCTAGGCATTTATCCCAGAAAAATGAAGACTTATGTTCACAAAAAAACCCTGTACATGAATGCTTATATCAGCTTCATTTATAATAGCCAAAAATTGGAAACAGCTCAGATTATCCTTCAATGGGTAAATGATTAAACAAACTGCAGTAAATCCCTATGACAGAATTGTACTTGGCAATAAAAAGGAACAAACCATTAATTATATAACAGTTTTGCTGAATCTCCAGAGAATTACACTGAACAAAAAAAATGCCAATCACAAAAGGTTACTTCTATGAACTGAATGTGCGTGTTCCTCACTCCCCCCAAATTCATATGTTGAAAGCCCTAACCCCCAACATGATCGTATTAGGAGGTGGAGCCTTTGGGAGGTGGTTAGGGTTAGATAAGGCCATGAGGGTACAACCCCCATGATGGGATCAGTGACCTTATAAGAAGAGGAAGAGACACCAGCGCTTTCTCTCTCTGCAGTGGGAGGATACAGTGAAAAGGCAGCCTTCTGCAAGCCAGGAAGAGGGCCCTCACCAAGAACTCAATCAGCCAGCACCTTGATCTTGGACTTAGAAGCCTCCAGAACTGTGAGAAATAAATGTCTGCTGTTGAAGCCACCCAGTCTGTGGTATTTTGTTATATAGCAACCCAAACTGATTAAGACAGTTATATACTATATGATTCCATTTGTATAACATATTTAAAATGAGAAAATTACAAAAATGGAGAACATGTTAGTGATTGTCAGAGATTAGGGAGGGGTTAGGGCAGAGGGAAGTGAATGTGGCTACCTAAAGGCAACATGAGGGGGATGCTTGTGGTGACAAGAAAGTTCTGTATTTTAACTACATCAATATGAACACCTTGGTTGTGATACAGTATTACAGTTTTGCAAGATGGTACCACTGGGAAAAACCAAGTTAAGGGTACATAGGATCTCTCTTGCAACTCCACATGAATCTAAAATTATCTCAGAAAGTTTAATGAGATAAACAACTTTACACATACATATCTGTCTGAAACTTACTTTATAAACAACTACAGATGCTCCTCAACTTACAGTGGGTTATGTCCTAGTATACCCATCATAAGTTGAAAATATCTTAAGTCAAAATGCATTTAATATACCTAACCTACTGCACATCATAGCTTAGCCTAGCCTACTTTAAATGTACTCAGAACACTAGCCGACAATTGAGCAAAATCAATCATCTAACACAATGCCTGTTTTATAATAAAGTATTCAATAGCTCCTGTAATTTATTGAATACTATACTAAAAGTGAAAAACAGAATGGTTATATAGGCACTTTAAATACGGTTTCTACTGAATGTGTATCACTTTTGCATCATTGTAAAGTAAAAAAATTCTAAGTCAGGGATTATCTGTATATACACACTATACGCACCCACATATAAAGAGAGAATGAGATAAAGGAAGTGCTGCAAAATGTTAACAATTGATGACTCTAGGTGTACTAGTCTTTCAACTTTTCTGTAAGTTTAAAAGTTTTCAAAATAAAGCATTGAGGGAAAAGGAAGAGTCTCTAGTTTCTTCACTGACTCTTTAATTTCTTATTTGAAATCTTCCCTGTCAAGATGATCCTATCTGACTGAGCTCTGTGCTTCCATAAGCACCTACGTCCTGGAGAAAAAGGTGATAAACCATGTAGTAGTGGCCTTTCAGGTCTGATCTAAAGAGGATTAAAAAATACCCTGGCAACTGGAGATAGAGCATGCTATACAGTAAAACGTAATCACGTAAGTTTTACTGTAAAAAACCCCAGCGTTATTATCACTGTGCTCAACATATTTGGAAAGGAGGCAGTTTCATGCCTGTCAACACGAAGGAAATGGCTTTTTGCTTTTCTTTTTTAAAGCATGAATTGGTTTACTTCTCTCAAGTAAAAGAATACTTGAGTGACACTGCTCCACCATGAGGCAACTCTTAGAACTGCTTCAGGCTGTTGTGGGAAACGAGGCCGAGGTGTGCCTATCTACAGCCCAGTGGCCAAGAGCACTGGCTCTGGAGTCACATCGATCTGGGTTTAAATCACTACCTAGCTATAAGAACCATCTATGTCTCAGTGAAAAACGTCGATGGTAAAAGAATTAGTGTGGGGATTTTTGTGAGGATTCAATGTTACAATGAACATAAAGGGCTCATCACAGAGTAAGAGCTCAATATATTCTGCCATTAAGCATTTATAATTACTTAAGACAAAGGAAAGCAACCAAAACTTGCATTTTACATGAATGATTATTCGTAAAATTATTTCAAAGTTAATACTCACATTGTTTTAGAATCAAACAAGATCACATATAAAAGTTATAAAGTTATAATTTTTTAACATAATAAAAATTATACAAATTAGGAATTTTGCCCAGAGACAACATGATATAGTAGAAAGAACACAACATTTAAAAATCAGAAGACTCGGAGTTAAGTCCTGAATCTACCACTTTCTTGCTATGTGATTTCAGGACAGTACTGAAATTGCCTCAGCTAATTTTCAAAAATAAGATAATATGCCTTGTGTCATAGGATTGCAGAAATTAAAATAGAAAATCTATATAAGAATATTTCATAAAATTAAAGCAGCATGTAACATTAACAAACACAAGTTTTCACATTTCCTGCATAAAATACCATTCATTATAATTAAGTCTGTCAAATTTGACAAAATTTCTGAATATAAATTAAGAAAAATAAAGGGATTTAAAAAAATGGGCCACTAAAACTAAAACTTCCAATGTCTTTACATAAAAGTCAAATGCACATATTCAGAATATTTCCCTAAAGACTTCCACTGAAGGCCAGGGCAGGGTGGCTCACGCCTATAATCCTAGCACTCTGGGAGGCTGAGGTGGGAGGATTGATTGCTTGAGGTCATGAGCACAAGAGCAGCCAGAGCAAGAGTGAGACCCTGTCTCTACTAAACATAGAAAAAATTAGTTGGGCATGGTGATACGCACCTGTAGTCCCAGCTACTCAGGAAGCTGAGGTAGAAGGATCGCTTGAGCCCAGGATTTTGAAGTTGCTGTGAGCTAGGCTGACGCCCCCACACTCTAGCCTAGGTGAAAGAGTGACACTCTGTCTCCAAAACAAAACAAAACAAAACAAAAAACTTCTACTGAATTTTAGGCAGCCCTTTATTTGCAGATCTGAATCTTTCTAATGTTTTTTCTATATGAGCCAGAGAAATGTGTCACTTATAAAAGTTAGGTCAAAAGGCCTTGCTTACAATACCATGTTTTAAGAAAGACATTCTTGAGTTTGGGTAACTGGCATGGTTACCCCAGCTTTCCCTACAAATCTGTACCTCCTCTGGCCTTGGAAATGAGTACCAGTCTCCGTATCATCCAGGTACAAAATCTCTTTTCTTAAGTCTCATATCTATTGTCTTCAAGTCACAATGAGTCTTCCTTCTCAATGTCCATTTTTTTCCTACCCCTACTGCCATTACCATAGTTAAGGCTTTTATTACGTTTTGGCTATAGTAATAGAATCAATCACCTTCCCACTAACTTCCTTGCTTCCAGTCTCTCCACTCTTATAATCCATCTTACTCATTACCGCTAAATTAAACCCTAACATCTTGCTTTTGTTGTGCCATTCCCTATTCAAAGACGTCCCCAAAAGTACAAAATCCTCAGCCTAGAGTATAAGCAGAATCTGGAAGCTGAATAATCAGTCACCAGAAAATCCAGAAGTAGTCTTTACTGCCATACGCAGATAACATACCACCGCTGAAGCCCCGGCACAGAAAGGCTAACCCTAAGTTCACTGGGATCTATGTCCACCCAAAACGGAGATACAGGTCACAAAGTTAATAGAGACTCAAATTAAAAGAGAGGCAAAGAACTCAGACTCTCTAAAAATTTATTTAAAAAGCACAAGCAATTATTAGAATTGATACCTAAAACAAATAATGGAAAAGTATTTCTTAAAAATGGAAGAAAATCTACCTGGTAAAGGCAGGCTGCTGTTCCGAGGAAAAATGCAACGATGTAATTAAAATCTTCACCATCACTCTGTAAAAACAAGAGAAAAGATTACTTTTTTTCTGGTGGAAGTCCATTTCCAAAAACAATCCATCAGGATAGGATACAACAATGTCTATGCATAAACTGCAAAAATTGTCACCAAGCGTTATATAAAACTTCTTAAGAGTCCTAAAATGGACCCAAAGAGCTTGAGGTAGAAGTACGAATGTTCCTCTATGTCATGGCCTCCCCCATCAATTTCATTACACCCAAGAGAAAATGAAAATCACTGGAAAAAAGTTCCCACATAACACGAAAAGCTTCTCTTCCTCCCACTAAAGAAACCATTTAATGAAGTGCATAACACCCTAGAGGCTGACAAATTTACTCCTGCTTACTAGGGTCACTACTTGACTCAAATGAATATTGACAAACTTTACTATCTAGTAAGCACATCACTGAACTGTCCAATAAAGTAATTTGACATGATTTAAAAAAAAAAACAAAACACATAAAAATCAAAAAGCTACTGTCCACTAGAGTGTGCTAAATCCCAATAAGAAAAATCAAGACTAATCAGTCATGCATGCTATGTTAGAAAAACAGCCACCCAGAGGAAAAACAGAGATAGATCATTCTTTTCTTTGAAAAGAAAACTAACAGAGACATGTGATAACCCATGTTTTCCTATACCTTTTTGGTTCCTTTTAAATATTCACATTTATCAACAATTTCTTTGAATATTTTTACAAAGTAGAACATAAAGTCCAGGCAGGAACATTACATTTTTTTCTCCTAGGCAGGAATATTAAATTTGGTACTTTCCTTATTTTAGAAAAAAATATCTTTATATAATGAAAATTTCCATGAGACACAGGAGTAGCTCTCATGACTGTGTCTTCATAAAATAGTATAAAGAGAAAATTCTTTTTGCACTGATTATTGGGCAACAGAAATGACTGTAAGGCAGAGGGAGACTGGCTTATCCTAGTGAGATCTTAAAATAGGAACCATTAATCTGTCTGGGATGCTTATGTCAGTTGTACCCCAGAGCAGGGAAGGTCAACACGAAACCTTTCCATTTTAATAACTGTAAAGCTTTAAGTAAGTTCTGCTTGATTATTTTTTCTTTAGTCTATTATTTTTTAAGTGACCTTTTTTCCTAATTATAAAAATTCATGTTCATTATTGAGGATCTGGAAAATACAGATTATACAAGGAAGAAATTCATACAGTCCATAAATACCACAGCTCTGGGAGAATTAGTGCTAACCCTTTCATGTATTTTCTTCATGTCTTTTCTGTGTATGTATGCACATTTTTAAAAAATGGAATGCTTTCATATACTGCTTTTTAGTATTAATACTTCATATTACACCATAAATACTTTTCCAAGACAGTAAATATTCCTCAACCACAGAATTCATAATGATTGTATAACCTTTCATTGTGGGGATATACAATAATTTTTGTTCTACAATTGGATACTGTATTATTTTCTTCTCTAAACTTACTGTATCACTTGATAACCTTCTTAATTGCCTTTGGAACTCTTAAAAGCATGTTTCTGGAGTCAGACCTGGGTTCAAATCTTTACTTATGATCTTTAATTTCATTTTTTGAAAAATAAAAGTTGTAGAGATTAAATGAAATAACATTTGCATATACAAAGAAAAGTAACTAGTACACAGTAAGTGTACTTCACTAACTCCTCTTTCCCTGGGGTTACTATCTGTATCAGTCTTCTGGTAATTAGATTACCTTTCAGTATCATTTAAACCTCTAGTATACTGGCCTTATCCTCTCAATTAGATCCTAATGGAGAGGCAGAAAATAGTCTTACTACTTGCATGAAACTGTGCACATAGTAGCAATTCAACAGACGCTTGCTGAATAGTTTGAGCTTTGATAAAGTTGAGTTTCTACTTGATAAAGATTGTCCATAAACATATTCTTCCACTCCATAAATATTCCTTAAGCATTTATCCTTAAGCATTATGGTACTATGTTACTAGACCAAGGACGGAAAACAATTAAGTCCATACCAATTTAAGGAGCTCACTCTCTAACTGAGAAGGCAGATACACAAATCAATAATTCTCACCCAAAGTAATAACTGACAAGGGATAGGTGTGTGCGCAGGGTACTAAGGGATCCTACTGGAGACACATCTAATTCTGTCTGGAGAAAAAAAACGGTCAGGAAAGGTTTCCCAGAGGAAGTAAAGCCTAACTTGGGTCTTGAAGACTGAACAGGCAAAGTAGACAAGGTAGGAAGAGGATCGTGGGCAAATGGAGCAGTACCTGCAGTCTCAAAGAGGGAGGAACTAAGATGACTCCAAGATTTGTTTCTTGTTTAGGCAACATTTGAATGAAACCAGGCACTAAGTTGAGAATATAGGAGGAAAAGTAATTTGAGAGCAGAAAGTATTGAGTTCATTATAGACATGCTATTTTGGAATTGCCAGTGGGACATTGAAATAATTATACTTAGTAGATATTTATATCTGCTTCAGGAAAGAGTTTGATCTAGAGATCTAGTTTGGTAGTCATCTATCTAACGAGTAGTTAAATGAAAGGCCTATGACAACCAAGTGCAAGTCTTAATTCTTGGTTGGCTCCCAGATTGGAGAGAGAAACAAAACACTATAAAGGACATTTGGGGAGCAACTGTGGAAACAAGAATACAGGTTTATATCAGCTAACAGTGTATGAATTTTAAATTTCTTTGGTGTGATAAAGATATTGTGATTATGTAAGAGAATGTCTTAATCCTTAAGACATACATATTGAATAATTTTGGAATAAGCTGTAATGATACCTACAATTTTACTTTCCAATGATTCAGAAAAAAAAAAGGAGAAAGGAAAGAGGAAAGGTAGTCATATAAGTGGATGTTAATTGTACCATTCTTTAAACTTCTCTGTAAGTTTGAATTCTTTCAAAATAAGATGTTATGTGGGGGGAGGAAAATACAAACCAAAAAAATGCCATGCAGCCACTAAAAAGAACGGAACACATGTCTATGTACTGATGTGAACTGTTCTCCTACATATTACTAGATTTAAAAGCTGCAAATCAGTATTGAGTATATTATTTATATAAAAGTAACTTTAAAAGAATTACTTTAAAAGAATAATAAAAAGTAAATATATAAATACATATATACTAGCGTATGCACATAATCTCTCTAGAAGGATACACCAGTGATTGACTCTTGGGAAAAGAATTTTTTATGAAAATTAATGTCAATTTTTGTAGGCTTTGAAATTTACCATGTGCATATTTTACTGTGTATATGTATGTATACATAAACTTTTTTAAAAAGGCCACTTTGAAAGGATCCAAGAAGTTGTAGAATTAGAAGAATATAAAACCAAGGATAGAATACTGGAGAATGCCACTATACAAAGGACAGGGGGAGGAATAAAGTTTATTGAATTAACTGAGGAATAGGAAGAAAAAGAGGAAAAAAACCTTTTTAAAAAAACACAAAATATGATTTTATTTTTTATAAAGGGATGAGATTGTCAAGAAGAATGTAAATATATTTAATTATTAATAGCAATTTATTTGATTTGCATCTAAGTTTCCTAAAATAAAAATTTTTTGAAATTAAATAAGGCATTATTTTTAAAAGGAAGAACTGAACGATACATGAGATGAGGCAGAGAGGGGGCATAAGATAAGGGCACTAAGGGTGGCCACACTGTTTTGTAATCAGAAGGATACTGGTGAGCTTAATGAAAGGTGTCTGAAAGAACCATGGGGACAAAAAGAGATCACAGGAGACTAAGGAAATAGAAGGCAAAGGAGCAGGGACAACAAATGCAGTCTACTCTTTCAAAAAATTAGAAGAAAACACATGTCAAGAGGCTTTTTGGGGTTTTTGGTTGTTGTTTGTTTTTTAAAAAACAGCAGGGCTGAGGGAAAAGAGCCAGTAGAGAGGAAGCAGATGAAATCTAGGTGAAGGCATAGCTAGAGTTGGGAGAAAGTAGGCAGAGGTTAGGAGCGGGGGACAGAAGTAGGAATGGACAGGGGCCAGGGGACAGAGGCAGGGAGGAAGGCAGAGGTTGGGGCGACGGGAAGTGGTAAAGGAGGGGAAGGAGAGGGCAGAGGTAAGGAGTTAGAATAAAAAAATTTTAAAACATCACTCTTCACCACCTTTGGGGAATGGTGAAGTACCAATGTATTGCTTTGAAAACTAACAAATAAAGGGAAAGAAATTTTTTTTAAAGGTGAGAGTAAGGGAAACAAAAGCCTCGTACAATAGCCATACAATGTATTAGCAGGATTCTATTAAAATGTTTATAATAATTAGAAAATATTCACTTTTTAATATTAAGTGAAAAAGGAACACAAAATAATATATTAATAATAGAGATGACATATGTACATGTATGTGTGTATATATAAATATATACATCAGAGAAAATTTGGGGATGATTTTTATTTTCTTCTTTATACATTTTCCCCAATTCACTGATAATGAATTAGTATATAATCAGGAAAAATACTTTTGTTTCTTTCAAAAGAAAGCACCATATTGTTGACATTATGCCATTAAATAAATTTTAAAATTTCTGTTTAGCTTTAACAGGCATATAATTTCTTTAAAAGGTATTAACAATACTATGGGAAATAGAGAAGACAAGAAATAAAAGCAAGTTGATTACTTCTGCTTTGTACTAGCTTTTACAAACCATTTTAGAATCAGAAAATCTTAGGATGTTAGTGCTGAAGTAGTCCTTAGGCTTATTAAGTCTAAAACCTTCATCTTGCAGAATCAGAAGATGAAATCTAAAAATGTAAAGAAACCTGTCTAAGCTCACAAAGTGAGTTGCTGGTAGATGGGACCCAGGTATCCTGACTTCCAGGCTGGCATTTCTACTGCTCAGTTTTGCTCTTTCCCATCTTGCAAGATGGCAGGTGAAAAAGTTGAGAAGCCGGATACTAAAGAGAAGAAACTTGAAGCCAATAAGGCTGATGCCAGTGGCAAGGTTAAAAAGGGTAACTGCAAGGATAAAAAGCCCAACAAAGAGAAGCCCA